AGCCCGCACCAGCATCGGCACCCGTCGGCCTGGCAGGCCTAAGCTGCTAAGGATCCCCACGTCCCCCACCACGTTGTGGGGGTTGCGTGTCCGGCAGGACGGGGAGCGGGGCCAGGGTGGGGTGACCCTGGGACGCTCAGCTGGGGGGAGGGTGGTCGGAGCCATGGAGAGGGTGCTCCATGGTCCACCCCCTCTCTTGATGCCCCTTGATCACGTGTGCCCCCTGCCCAAGGTCTGCTCACGCGGCCTATCATAGCGGGGTGACTGTAACACAGGGTAACCTCGGGCCTGCATGCGCCGGCAGCGAAGTTGGCGGCTGATCAGAGTGCATGGAATGGATAAGTACGGAAACCAGAAAGCACATCGCGCACAAGGCGGCGAGGGTTAGCAGCCACCTGAGCGATCCCGAGCAGTTGTAGCGCCCAAAGGAGAACAGGCCGCGGCCTGGCAGCAGCGTGTAGCCTGGAACCTGCAAAGTGCAGCCCCAACAGCGCTCAGTGCGACTGTGCCAGTCCTGGGTACTGGCGGCAGCAGGAGCGCCTACCACGATGCACCCACCTGTGGTGCTGAGGTGACGATGGGCCCTCCAGCTGAGAAGGGCACATTGGGGCCCTTTGCTATCAGGGCTGCGGGATAGGCAACAGCGGGCTGCACCAGCTCTTGGAAGCGCAGCCCGCAGCCGCCCTCAGGCAGCGCCAGCTCAGCGCCATCATCTGTGGTGAGCCGGCAGCCGCCTGGATTGGAGCAGTGGTTCCACACATTGCACACACTGGGGGTGGCGTTGAGTGGACTGGGGCTGCCGCTGGCTGCGGGGCCGCCTGCGCTGCTGTTCCAGGTGCGGCAGGCGCGGCAGCAGGCCTCTGGCGTCGGCTGCTGCACTGTGGCCACCTGCACCGGAGGGAGCGCCAGGCTGGGCTCACAATTCAGTAGCAGCATCCAGCATGCAGCACTGCTTTCTTGGTCAGCATGCTACAGCACTGTTGGTCGGGCATTGCCTCGCTGGCCCACCTGCACGCCATCCATTGCCGCGTTCCGCCCCACAAAGCAGCCCAGCCAGGAAGTGTTGCTGGCTGTCTCCTCCAGGGATGGCAGGATGGCTCTTCCGTCATCGTTGTAAAGGCGGGGAGTCTATGTTGCAAGCTAGTTCTTGCTTTACCAGACTTTAAGCCCACACAAGCAACAAGCAAGGTGGGTGGCGGTCTACGGGGCGAGGAGCGAGTGTGGAAAGAAGGCCAGCGGGAAGGCACATGACTGGCGCCGTGACCAACGCTGTGCGAGCGACAGGCTGAGGCACCGCAGATGCTGCCAGCTGGCATGAGCGGGAATGAAATGGGATCATTGTCTTTCGTCGTGCACCCGCCCCTGCGCTCACCACGGGGCGGTTGTCCTGGCGGGTGATGGAGTAGACGGAGGGAGCCACAAAGCTGCTCACAGATCCCAGGCTGGCAGACTTGAGCACGGCGAGCTCGCCCGACTGCCCATCAATGCCATCGAGATACACCACTACGGTACGGCAAGCGAGCGTGTTCATGCAGACCACCGCTGCCTGAGCCGCGGTCCTGCAAGAAAGCAGGCACGGTACCCTATCCTATCGAGGCGCCGGCTGCACTGCGCTGCTCCTGAGCTGTTGAAATTGCAATGCATCCTGGCTCTCAATTCAAGAGGGCCCACCTGAATGCGCACTGCGTGGGCAGCACGGAGCCAGGGCAGGAGTAGTCACCGCTGAAGCCCTGGCTGGGCACGCTGGTAAAGCCTGGGAAGGTGCGGGGCCTGTGCCGCAGCGGGAAACCTGCATGCGGGACCGCAGGGAACCATCGTTATCGGCTTTGGCTGGCAGAAGATTCAGGGATGTGTGTGAAGAAGAGTCTCTGCCGTGCTCTTGCCTGCCGTGGTCCCCACGTCGTCGCCCTTGCTCAGGACCACTGGCACCACGCTGTCGTTGGCAGCCAGCAGGCTGCACTGCTGGAAGCCCAGTGGCGGCCCCTCTCCCACGTTGCAGCCCTGCATGCACAGGGCAGGTGAAGAGGGCTGCTGCCATCCTGAAGGGCGGGGATGGCGGCGGTCGGCGGCGGCAACCTCGGACCACCGCGCCGCTCCCACTCCCACCTGCGGGGAGCCACAGGCGTTGAACCAGCTGCACTCTGCGTCCTCCCTGCATCGCTCTGCGCACTCCTCTGGGCTTGCTGACTGCACTTCCCCCAAGCGAGCCCCTCCAAGCACCACACGAGGCGCCAGCACCGCTGCTGAGCCTGCCCCCACGGTTCCAGAGCTGTAGACCTGGTTGGAGAGCAGTCGGGGGGTCTGCCCAGCGGCCCGGGCTGCCAGCAGCAGCACGAGTAGGAGAGTCAGGGGGAGAGCGTGCAGCAGCCTGAGTGGCATCCTCTAATCTAGAGAAAGTGGAGGAGAGGGGAGGCTGGCAGCAGCAGCACGGGGAGATCTTGCAACTTTCTACCTGCATGCTCGCCGCCGTGCTTGGCAGTGCTTTCTGATGTTTGCAGTGGTTGTAATTGACTGAAAAGCAAGGTATGATAAGCAGCCAGTCAGAGAGCTCCAGCCCTGCATTCAACCGCAGTGTTAGCCAGGCGTGCTGCCATCACTGCCAGCGACGTCAGACCTGCCAAGCGTCCCGAGGCCGAGCCATGGGCCAGGGAGCGCAAGGCATGGGGAAACGTTGATGCTGTGATCAGGCAGACGCCAAGAGTGATCCAGTCCAGAATCCAAGCAGTTTCCAATTTGCTGGGCAGTTTCCAATTATTTGCCGGGCGCAGCGGGAGCGCCAGCTGGCGCGCCATGCGGCGCTCACTCTCTAAACCTGATGCCTCGCGCCGCACCATGCTCGAACCCCCTTTCCTGAGCGCGTTTCAGGATGGCCCAGGCAATGCGCGCCGCCTGGTAGTGCGGCGTGTGATTCGGCCGCCCAGATCCGCTTTCAACCGCGGGCAAACGAATTCAGCGGCACGCTACTCAGCGCACCCTGCATCCGCCCACCCCAGCCATGCGCGCCGCGGCCTGGGCGCTGCTGACGGCGGCGCTGGCGGCTGCGGCCGCGTGCCCCGCGGCGACGGCGGCCGAAAACGCTACCACCGCAACCACCGACCCGGCCCTGCTGCCCTTCATGGCCGTGGCCGACGCGCCCACCAACCGGGGCCTGAAGCCGCAGCGGTGGCCTAAGTTCGGGCGCATGCATTACTACCAAATCCCGCCCGACCCGATCGGCACGCTCGTCATCTTCCACGGCTGCGGCCGCGCCTCCAAAGCCTTCTTCCCCTGGAACCCCGACACCTGTGAGGAGTGCCTGGGTGAGCAGCTTATGTTCTTTTGAGTCGGCTTGCTTTGGGGACGGGGACAGCGGCGCATGGGATGCCTCGGGCAGCGCCAGGCAGCACCAGGCAGCACCAGCAGGGGTACGTACGGCCTGCGGGCGGCCAGCATCCCTTGCGCGCCTCCTGGCCCTGGCCACCACCATTTCAATGCCGCCTGCCTGGCCGCCGCGCCGCGCCGCAGGCTTCCCGGAGCACGTGTCGCAGACGAAGCAGGCGCTGGCGCTGGGCTACGCTGTGCTGGCGCTGGACCCACTCGACTTCCGCCACCTCTGCTGGTCCTCATCCGACAGAGGTGGGTGGGGTGTCAGGGAAGGAGGCGCGCCCAGGCCGCCGCCGTCGTCGCCGCCGTGGCGCAGAAGGAGGAGTCACCGTGCTGCCAGGCCTTGCAGGAACGGCACCGGGCAAGCCGTGTGGGGCATGCGCCGGGGGCAGGCCAGCCAGCGGCCTGACAGCCGCGGGGCTGTGCTGGGCCGCTCTGGGCTGCGTGCAGGCTCGGGCAGGCTGAAGCACGCCGGCAACGACCAGCCCACCGTCAGGCTGCTGCTCAGGGAGTTTCTGACGGCGCAGGGCCTGAAGGAGAAGCCCCTGCTGCTGCTGGGCGTCTCCAGCGGCGGCACGCTGGCCCTCAAGCTGGCTGTGGCGCTGGAGAAGGAGGCGGAGGCGGCGGGCGAGGGCGAGTGGGTGCCGCGCGCCAGCGGCGTCATCTCGGGTGAGCACCCGGGCCGCGGTCCCGCCCTTGCGGCTGCGGCGCGGCAGCCGGGCCGCCGCATGCGGCTGCCGTGCCGCCATGCCTCCAGCCTGGGTTGCCGTTCTCTGGCCTGCCAGACCTCGCGCCTCCCTGCCCCACTGCCTGCCGGCCTGCCTGCCCCCTCCCACCTGTCCCCTCCCTTCCGCAGAGGAATCTGTGCCCACCGACTTTGGCGCCGCCGACGATGATGGGAAGCTGCGGTACCGCGGCTTCCCGCCCACCATCTTTGTGGTGATGACGGGCGGCAACAGCCGGCTGGACGCGCCGGGGGTGGTGGAGTTTCTGCGGGACGGCGGCGTGCCCGCCGACGTCATCACGGTGCGGCGCACCGTACCGCCTGTATTCGTCGTACTGCCCGCCGGCCGCTGCATGCCGGAAGCGGGCACTGTCCATCATCGTCCTGCGACCAGGCTGCTGCCGCTGCGCCTGCGCCTCTCTCCTCGCCAGCTGCATGTGTCACTCACCACACCACGCCCCCTGCCACTACCACCCCCCACCCCCTCGCCCCCATGCCGCCCTGCAGTCCGGCCCGCGCCCCGTCGTGCCCACCTTCTTCTCCGACCGCATCCCGGCCATCACGCAGCAGCAGAGCCGGTGGATTGTGGAGGGCATGACTTACATCGGCATGCTGGATGCAGACGGCTGGCTGCTCGGCGACCCGGAGCGCAACAGGAACGTGCGCAAGGTGAGGTGGCGGTGAGCTGGCGCTGAGCTGGCGCTGAGCTGGCGGTGAGCTGGCGGGGGCTGGGCGGGCCGACGCCGCGGCAGCGGAGCGCCGCGCCGCGCCTGCCTGCCTGCCCTCCCGCCCCCCTGCCTGCCTGCCTCTCCGCCCGAAGCAGCCTCCTCGCGCATCACCCGCCACCGGCCACCTGGCCCTCAGCACTAACACCCCACACCACCACAACACCACCGCACGCCGAAACACACACACACACGCACGCACACACGCTCCACGGCCCCCTCTCCCGCGCAGAACACTACCTCCCCCGCCTTCAACTGGGACACCAAGCTCAAGGCCCTGCTGCCCTGGCTGGCCGACGACAGCCCCACCCTCAGCCTGTCGTACCGGCAGTGCGGCATCCAGCAGGCCCTCAACGTCGCCTACGCCCGCCACGACGCAGTGTCAGGCGAGCCCGCAGCTGCCAGGCGTCGCGGCTTGTGTGCTGGGGCGCAAGCGTGCGCTGCGCTGCTGTGCACAGTTACGCTACGCCAAGCTGTGCACGCAGGCCTGGCTGGCCGCCATCCGACCGCCTGCCTGCCCTCCTGCCTCCCCTTCCCCGGCCCCGCCCTGCAGACTACCTGACCGTCTGCCTCAAGTGGCTGGAGTCTGGCGGCAAGGCTGACCTGCCTGAGCTGTTGGAGCGGTACACGGTACCGGACTTTAACCTTACGGCGCTGACCATAAACGGTCTGGAAGCGCCCGACTTTGGCGCCGCGGAGGAGGAGGAGGGGGGCGCTGCGGCAGGCGGCTCCGTGGCTGACGAGGCCGCGGCTGGCAAGGATGCCGCGGGCGAGGGCGCGGCGGCGGGCGGCAGCGCGGCCGGCAAGGCCGCGACGGCGGGCGCAAACGCAAATGCAGCGGGCGAGGAGCCAGCGGCCGGGGAGAGCGGCGAGGCGGCGGAGGCGGCCGCACCGCTGGAGGTGCGGCTGGGCGAGGAGAAGGAGGAGCCTCTAGCTGCCCAGACCTCCTCGGCGGGTCGCAGGCGCCTGCTGCGCAGGCTGTTCTAGCTGCCCTGTAGGCGCCTATGGCCTGCTGGCTTAAAGGCGTACGTGCATTCCGTGACATGCCCCACTTCCGTACACATTTTGCTCAGTATCTCTTGCAAATGCCCGATACAACAATTACTGCTGTGCTGTACCACAGCCGCTCCTCAGGATTCGTACCGATACCACTCATACTGCACGTTGCCGTTTGATCACGCCTCCTCATCCGCTTTTCTGTGGCCGGCAGAGCCTCTGCCAGCCAGCCAGCCACCTGACAATGCCTGTGCTGCAAATTGCGGCACGCTCCCAGCCGGCTTGCAGTTCCTTGGCACTTGCATTGCGGCATGCTTATTGTAAACGGCAGTATCAAAGGGATAAACGGCAGAGGGCAGCTGGGAGCTGAGAGCAGGGACGAAAAGCAGAATAAGATATGAAATCAAGCCCACCAAACAGTGTTCACAAGCAGGTCTGGATGGCGGTGACGGCAGCTGGGGACGGCCAGCACGCAACAGAAGGGGCACGCTCAGCTGAAAGGTGAAAGCCTTGCTGGCCGGCAGCTGGAGGCAGCTGGAGGCAGCCGGGGGAGCGAGGGCAGGCGGAGCAGGCCAGCAAAGCGGGCCCCGCCCAGCTGGGCGATCAGTTGAAGAGGGAAAACTCGCCCGCCAGCACGGCGATGTTGCGGGCGCTGCCTATGAGCGACAGCAGGGCGATGAGGGAGCAGGAGGCGGCGATGACGAGGTTCAGGGCCAGCTCGGCGCCCGTGGGCGCCCGCGCCTTGATCCACATGATGGGCGGCAGGATGAAGGTGATGGGCCTGCGGTGGGGTGGCAGGGGTGGCAGGAGGAAAGCACAGAGCATGCTCAGCATGAACACAGTGGGGTCACGTCAGCCAAGGGGACCAGTGCTGGTGTGTGTGGGCGCGGGATGCAGGAGAGCACAGGCCAGGGTGCAGCAGGCCCAGCTGCTTTCTTTCCACGGCAGGCCACACAACAGGCATGAATGGGGCAGGCGGCGGCAGTTGCAGCCACACGCTTGCACTGCCAGCCAGCCAAGCAAGCAGGCGCCATGGCGCGCACGAGCCCGATGCTCGAAATCAGGCCCCTGCAAGCAGGGCAGGCGGGCGGGCAGGCAGGGAGGGGACGGTAGCGAGTGTGCATGGGAAGCGGGATGTGCCCCCCTCCAACACAGCAAGCCGCTGAGCTGGCAGCCCAGCCGCAGCGCAGAAACGCTGTCCGCCCGCGAAAGGACGCGCCCACGGCCACAACGAGCGCCAGCCGGCGCGGCGCGCGGAGCTGCTGCCCCACAACAGACGCCGCCCCGCCTCCCTGCTCAGGCCCGCCCGCTCACATCAGCTCTCCGAAGAAGGGCAGCAGGCAGGCCACCAGCGTGACGGCCGCCACGTACGCGGAGCGCACGCACAGCCGCATGGCCAGCGGGCGCGGCGGCGAGCGCATGGCCCGCCGGATGGCGGTCTCCACGGCGTCAAAGATGGGCATGGCAAAGACCTGGCAGGAGGAGGGTGGAGGGGGCAGAGGGGGCGGGCCACGGGCAGAGGGCAAGGCGCGACTCGTCGGGGCGGTGCCAGGGCGGTGCCAGGGTGGGCAGGAGCAGGCAGCAGGCACCAGAGGGTGGCTTGTCCCAGGGCAGCCTGGCCGCCCCGGGGGAAGGCACCAGCGTGTGGCTTGTCCCAGCAGCCTGCCCCGCGCCTGGGCCAGCTTAAGCTGGAGCCCTCCACGCCGGGCCCACCTGCCACGCCGCCGCCACGTGCAGCACCACCATCAGGTTTGCCGCCGCCATCAGCCCCGCAGGCTCCTTCAGGTTCAGCAGCACGTCTGCGTGGCGTGCACGTGCGGGGAGGGGGCGCCATGGTGGGGAAGGCCGGGGGTGGGGTGTACATGCGTTGGTGCGTTTGGGAGAGTGCGAGCGCGAGAGCCCCGCCGGCGGCCAGGGCATGGGTCCCCATCCCACCCCGCCCCACCCCACCCGACCCCGCCCGCCCACAGCAACCCACCTGCGCCCACGCCCGCCCCAAAGGCTGCATACCCCGTCACGGCCACCCCATAATAGGCCAGGATGACGACTACATACGACAGGGTGAGGCCCCGCATCATCGTCTGCACCGTGGGCGGCGGCCGGGCCAGGGTGGCTTGGATCTCTGGCAGCACAGCCTGGCCTGCGGGGCAGGAGAGCACAGGGAAGGGAGGCGGGGTCTGGGGGCGGGGCGGGGTGGGCGCAAGACGAGCCACAGGGGGTGAGCAGGGCGGGGCCCGCGCATCCGCTGGGGGTGAGGCGGCACACATGTTTGTATACAATAACATAACATGCGGCAGCGAGGCAGCCCGCGGGCATGCAGGCTGCCCGTCGCCGCGCCCGCACCCCACCCCACTGCAAGCCCTGCGCCCACCACACTTCACACACCACCGCGCCACACACCACCACACCCACACACCCACAGCCGCACCCACCTCCAAAGGTGAAGGCCACCCCTCCCAGCGCGTTGAACACCCCAAACACGCGGTCCGCTGTGGACAGCCCCTCGTGGCGCAGGTCGGTGGAGGGGCCGTGGGCCGCCGCGTGCGCCCCGCTCATGGCGATGGCGATGGAGCAGTAGCCGCAGCTCATGACGGCCCCCAGCAGGGAGATCCACCTGCAGGGTGACAGACTGTGACAGTGTGAGTGTGAGAGTGAGAGTGTGAGTGTGAGTGTGAGTGTGAGTGTGAGTGTGAGTGTGAGTGTGAGTGTGAGTGTGAGTGTGAGTGTGAGTGTGAGTGTGAGTGTGAGTGTGAGTGTGAGAGTGTGAGTGTGAGTGTTTGTGTGTATGTGTGTATGTGTGTGTGGTGGTGGTGGTGGATGTATTGGTGGCATGTCAGGTCAAGTCAGGTCGGTTAGGCCGGACGGGCGGGAGCATTGGCAGCGCGTCGGGGACGCAGCAGCGAGCGCAGGTGGGGTGGAGCGGCGGCGGCGCTCACCAGAGCGAGTGGAAGTCGGGCACCTGGCTGAGCAGCAGCTGCACGGCACCGAAAGCCACGATCCACACACCCATGCCCTGCACCGCACGCAGGCACCCGGCGCGGCGCGGCAGGGCGGGGTGGTTAGCGCCGCTGCAACGTGGCGCGCATCCCAAACCGGGTGCAGCAAGAGGCGGCTTGCGAAGGGCCTGGCTGCCTGCGGGCCGCCGCAAGAGCAGCAGCAGGCCGGCCGCGCGCCAGCCAGGCGTGACGCCGTCTGGGCCCGCCTCCCGAGCCCCGGCCACATGCTCCCCACACTCTCCTGCACCTACCTCCTGGCAGTCCTTGCCGTCGCACTCCTCGCTGGCGACGCCCTTCAGGCTCTGCCCGGCCGTAACGGAGTAAGTGATACACAGGCCCGCCATCAGCGTATATTGCACGGTGGCTACAGCCAGCTTGCCGCGCTGCGCGCCTGCGGCGGCAGCAGCGGGAGGGGAGGGGAGCAGGCGGCGGCGGTGTGTGGCCCCGGCTACGGTTGGGAGGAGCTGCGGTGGGGAGTGGGGGAGGCAGGGGCTGCGGCCAGCCGCCGGCCGCCGGACCCCGAAACGTAGGGACGGCGGCAACCGAGCAGCGGCACGGCGGCGGCGGCGGCAGGACAGGATGGCCGCGCCTTCTGCCCACCAGCCCCAATACCTAGCACACAGCATAGGTGGCGGCCCCGGCGCCACCCTTGAAGCCCAGCCGCCACACACGAACGACAGGCCACCCCTGCCCAAGCCCCAGGCCAAGCATACATGTGCAGCACCTGCCCACCAGCACCCACCAAGGATGGCGGCACCCATCTCGCGGTAGGTGTTGAGCCGCTCGCCCCCTGGCGCCTCGTGCAGCGCTGCCAGCAGGTATGACGTGTAGATGCTGAAGCCGCACAGCAGGGTGAGCAGCAGCAGGCCCGCGGCCCTGCGCCAGGCGGGCCAGCAGCGGGCGGCGGCGGCAGGTGGGGCAGATGGGGCCGGCGGCGGGCTGCACCTGCCTGCCTGCCTGCCTGCCTTGTCGCATGCTTTGTGTGGTGTGCGCCCAGAGGCCTGGCCGGCCCCGCCTGTGCCTGCACTCGCCACTCACCAGCCCAAGAAGCTGAAGGCGTGAGGCAGTCCCAGCACGCCCGCCCCCACCACGGCCGTGACGGTGTGGAAAGCGGCGTGGTGCCAGCTGGCTGCAGGCGGGCGGTGGCGGCCGCAGGCGGTGGTGGAGTACAGCAGGTGGAGGCGGCAGTAGGAGGCAGTGCAAGTAGCAGCGTAAGGCAGCAGTATTACGCCAGATAGCGCTCCCTGCGCCCATGCTGGAAGCAGCACCGTGCGAGCGGCGGCGGCGTACCCGCTGGGCGGTGCTCTGCTGTCTCTAGCTCGAAGGACACCGGCCCCTGGCCGGTGGTCAGCCGGTCCAGCTCCCGCTCGTAGACCTCTGCATCGTCTGAGAACTTGAAATCCAGCTGAGGAGCGCTGGCCCTGGCCCCGAAGCCATCCAAGCCAAACATATGGCCTGTGTGCTATCTGAGCGGCATGGGCACACGCTGGGCCGATCGTCGCGCGGCGCGATGGCTGCAACATGGACAGCCTCGCTGCTATAGCCACCGCCACGCTGGACCCCTTTCTAGGCACCCTTTCTAGTTGCTGCCGCGCGCTCTGGAAGGCCCCAATCGGTGCAGCGGAGCGTGCATTGGAATCCTGCCGATCCATAACTCGCGTGGGAAGCGGTAGGCGGCCCCTCAAGTTGCGGGTAGTGGGTCAGACGGCATGTGGCAGGGCTTCTGAAAGAGGCTACCTGGCTCCTGCTGCTGTCCTGGTCAGCAAGCAGCCCACCTGCAGCTCGTCCCGGCCAATTGCTTGGCTGATCTGCTCCACAAAGGCAAAGGCCCCCCCACTGCACCTGCACCGCTTGACTAGCTTGCGGCATGTTGCTTTACAGCACGTATTTTTTGGCAGGCACCAGCCAGCGACATCATGTGTTGTGTTGGCAGTGAAGCAGTGCACGAGGGATAGAAGTGTCACACACACAGCAGCGGCAGAGGAGTGAGACCGCGGGCCTGCGGCCGGGTGGCGGGTCCGTTGCTCCATGAGGCAATGGCCGACAGCAGCAGCAGGCGGGGCACGGTTGCTGATGCGCGTCACGGGACAAGTGGACGGAGGCAGCAGCAGTGGGGCGGGCGTCACCGGCAGTGCAGTACAGGCACACATGGGGAGAGAGCCGGGGAAGAGAGCCACGGGGGCAGAGGGGTGGTGCGGTGCGGGTCATGAAACTGCGGGAAGGGCCACGGGTGCCAGAAGGTGGCGCAAGTGCGGGGCATGAGCATGAATGGGTGCTGTGGCCTGGGCTCTATGGCAAAGGCGGCCCAGGCAAGCTAATGAAGGCAGTCGAGGAAAAGAATCAAAGTGAGGAGACAAGACAGCGTAACTCGCACGCGAGAGAGACAGAGTCCGAGGGATGGTGGCAGCACAGGGGGGTGTCGGGACGACAACAATCAATAGGAACGATGAAGGGACGGCCCGAGGGGCAGGGGGGGGCGTCCTGAAAGAAGGTGGTTAGCTCGAGGAAGGGGTGGGCAGGGCGCCTGAGCGTGGGGCAGGGCTGGGCCTGCCGCACCACGAGCTCCCATCAGCGGCGGGTACTGCTCAGTACTTCTTGTTGCAGTACTTGCGGCAGCTCTTGCCCTTCCGGCCGCCCTTGCACTTCTTCAGGCACTTCTTCAGCTTCTTGCTGCTGCCGCCGCTGTTGGAGTAGGAGCTGCCGCCGCCGCCGCCGCCGCCGCCACCGCAGCTGGTAAAGCTCCAGCTGATGGGCTTCCTGTCCCAGTCGTAGCCGGTGCTCTCCTTGAGCGCCTGCAGCAGGTGGCGGGCAGGCGGGCTGGTGAGCAGGGCGAGGAGGCAGTGGGGACATGGAAGCGCCGAAGGGCCGCAGGCGCTGGGCCGGCCGGCCTGCCACCAGCCAGCACGGCCAGCCGGCCTGCCAGCCGGCCCTGCTGCGCGGCGCTGCGCTGGGCGCTGGCTGCTGCGCCGGCGGCTGGCTGGCGGGCGGGCGGGCGGCGGCGGCGGGCGGGGCGCTCACCCGGCTGCTCATGTCGACCGAGCCGTGGCCGCAGTACTGGGAGGGGCACATGTCCACGACCATGACCACGGTGCAGCCGCCGGCGCCGCACACTTTGAGGCACTTGCCGCACGACCCGCCGTACTGGGCGCCATTCATGGCGGCGTAATAGTTCTCCCAGTGGCCCAGGTTGCCGCCGATGCCGCAGGCCTGCAGGGGACGGGGGTGGGGCGGGGGCGGGGGTGGAGGGCGGCGGTCAGTGTGGTGCGGGATGTGGGATGCGCAGCGTGGGCAAGGGGTGCCTCGCCAGGGCCGGGACAATGTTTGGGAGGCAAGAGGCCAGGGGCTGGATTGAGGGTGGCAGTGCCCGCGGCGGCAGGTGGAGGCAGACTGGCTGCGCTGGCGACGCCTCCAGTACAGTGACAGACAGACAGCTATCAGGCTGGGCGGCTCCCGCGATGGGCCGGAGCAGCAATTTGGCACCCCCTGATTGGTGTCAGGCAGGGGAGGCGAGCAGCAGGGCGAGCGCAAGGGGGAGGGTTGGGCTGACCAGCCCCCGTGCAGCAACATCTCCTCCCAACTCACCCCGGAGCCACGGCCGCCGTCGCGGCCATAGGCCGTGCCCACACCGCTGTATGCATCCACAGTGGCGACGAGGAGCACCAGGCCGGCGAGGATGGACCGCACAAGGGCGGCGGGGGTGGACAGCATGTTGGGGATGTGGGGAGGGTGGACGGGCAGGAGGGTGGGGGAGGAGGTGGCAGAAGCGAGGGGGACCGGTGCTGGGCCGGAGAGATGCAAAGATGGACAGAATAGCAGCGATTTCGACAGCCGGTCCTTTTATGCTTTGGTCGGTCGGGACCTTGGTGCTGCTGTCAGACATTTGCACAAATGCAGCGGCTTCTGTAGCGCATGCAATCGACTCGTAGGTCGCTGTGGAGACAATCCTGGGCATGGCAGGCGCTGTGGGGGAGCAGGAGGGCCGGGGTGGGGGCTCCGTCGACCGGAGCCTCTCCCTTGCTTGCGGGCAGTTTCTGATTGCCAAACGGCATGGTGGATGCTGCTCGATCAATGTTTTAACTGTGGCAGCGGAGGGTGCGCATGGCGAGCACCTGGCACAGACATGCCATGCAGACGCTGCCCCTGTCCCTCCCTTCCGCGACTGCACCGTGCCACGATCATCACAAAGGCCTCTTCTCATTCACATTGCCCAGGGGAGGGGTCAGCTGTAATCGGTCAAGGTACAAGCAGCCGGGCTGCCCCTCCGAGCGTCCCCAGCTGCTCAAGCGTGCAAGAACAATGCGTCTGGGTACGCTACGGAGCAGGTCCGCTGCAGAAGAGATGGATGGTGCGCGTTGACTGGCTGGGATGGGGTGCTGGGTGACATTTCGGATGCCGCCGCCGCCGGGGCAAGGGCTATGTGTGGTGCAAAAAGGCGGCGCGGGTCCAGAAGGTTCCGGCCGGCCTGTTTTGTCTTTGTGTGAGAGCGGGAAGCCTCGTGAGAGCGCTGGGGTGACTGCCGAGCGCTGGTCGCAGCGGCAGGATCCTTCTCCTTCGGGCGGGGCTGGGGCGGCGGGCGCCTGTTATTACACAGGGGCACTCCAGCACAAAGGGAGAGAAAAGATGATCTTGTCAGGGCATCGAGGCTCCTTATATAGTCTGGCTGCTAGCCAGCTGTCGGCAAAAAACCGAACGGGCGAGGGAAAATCTGTGACAGGTGGGTGAAAAGTCAGTCTGCTGATATGAAAATATCTGCAGCTGTTTGAATATCCGCGGGCGCGCTTTGATTGATTCGATCGTTCGAAAAAGCAAAATTTGTGGGTTGGGAATTGGGAATTGGGGTGGCAGGGGAGCTGTTCTGCTGTCACACTATGTGACGATGCATCACGATCTTGTGACGACCACAATCTAGTCACACCTCTTCCAGCTAGATTGCAAAGCCCGCGGTGTCCACGACATCAAAGCGCTGCAGCTCCCCCTCCAGGCTCAGCAGCTCTGCCATCCAGCTCAGAATGCCACCCTGCTCTCCGCCGTCGCCTCGCCCCACCGCCATCGCCAGCAGCGCGGCAGCCGCCGCCGCCGCCGCCGCAGCAGCCATCAGGTACTGCCGCCGCGCAAACAGGTTGCCCCGTGCCTGCCGTGGCGCGCGCCCCAGCGGCAGCTGGATGCCAAGCAGCCAGCGCGCCTGCCAGCGGGGTACGATGCCCGCCGCCACCGCCTCATACTGGCACACCTGCAGGCGCATGCGCGGGTGGGTGGGGTGCGGGCTGAGCAACAAGCCTGCGCCTGCGGGCATGCAGGCCCGTGCGTCACTGCCGCACCATCCCTACGCAAGCACCGCGGCCGGGCGCAGCGCCGCCTTGCCCAAGCTGTCGGCGGCGGCAGGCTGGCTGGGCCCCCACCTCGGGCAGCCACACGGGGTTGCGGCAGATGGCGCAGCTGTGCGGGCGCTGCCCCTGCCGCACTCGCTGCAGCTGCCAGGCCATCATGCAGCTGCAGCACACAGGCAGTGACAGTGGCACCTTGGCGGGAGCGGCCATGCGGCAGTGCTGCCCTGGCGCAAGGGCTCAGGAGACGGGGAGGCAGCAGCGGCGATGGCAAAGAGCAGCAAATTGGACTGTGGCAGCGGCTGCGGCCGGGAGAGGAGCGGGTTTGGCCCGCCCTGGCCCGCATTACCTGGCGTGAGCCAGGCCGCAGCCGGGGGTGCCGCAAGGGGACAGCAGCCAGTCGAACAGCCCTGCCGGGCCGTAGCCCTCGCCCCAGCACACCTGCAGGCAGGACAGGGCAAGGCACAGCCGCTGGTTGCCTGAGCACCGGGATTAATAATAGAGTAAGAAAAGTGGGGGGGCCAATCATGTATGTACCTGGCAGCAGGGTGGCTCCTCTGCGACCACCATCTCGCTGCTGCTGCTGCTCTGGTCAGGGCGAGGGTCGTCTCGAGGTTGCTGTGCGGCTGCCCCTTCCCTGGCTTGGAAGCGCTGGTGCTGCTCTGCACCTGCCGCCCCGCTGCTGCTGCTGCAGCTCTGTTCAGAAAGCGTGTCGTCTGGAGGTTGACGAGCGCCTGCTGCCTCGCTGGCACTGCCGCCATTGGGGGGCGGGAGCGGGTCGACGGGAGGCGCCTCTTGCCGCCTCTCGGGGGCTGCAAGCGGCCCCTGCGCTGCTGCTATAGCCCTCCCTGCCAGCCCTCCAGTTGCTGGGCAGGGGATTGTGGAGGCCGCCAATTGCCGGTGCTCGCTGCGCGCTGAGGAACTATTCTGCTGTGCCATGGCGATGGGCGTGGTGACGGAGGCCGCAAGATAGGCGCTGGCAAAAAGTGAGCACCGCCGACACGTCCGCTGCGCCGCCAGTTCAGCCTTCAGGCGAGCTGCCCTAGAGCGCAACATTTCTCCCTACATTTCATCCTACACCCCCAACAACCACAAGGCAGCCCTGGGAGCAACCTTGACCGACTCACTGCTGCACCCTGTTCCCGGGCTGCTGCCCTGACCGCTGCACCATGCCAGCCGGCCATGGGACCGTGCTGTGCACAGCCGCACTTGGCCTGCTGCTGGTGGCGGCCGCGGCGCTGCGCAGCCGCCCCGCCCTTGGACCGGCCAGCCGCCACAGCACCCCCATGGGTGCTGCGGATGTGCTGCTGGACTTGGCAGCCACCTGGAGCGGCGCTGGGCGCCCCGGCAGCGGCCGCGGCTTGGACGAGGCCCCAGAGCCGCCGCTGTGGCGGCAGAGGGTGGCCGCCGCCGCCGCGGCAGGCCGGCTGGATGCCGCAGGCGGCGGCAGGGCGCCGGTCATCTTCATCCCGCCGCTCACGGGCGTGCAGCTGGAGCTGTCGCTGCACAACAAGTGAGGGGCAGCTCGGGAGAGCTCCTGGGGTAGCACACCTGCGAGACCCTACCCTACCCCATCCACCCCTGCCCGTATACGTGCCCCCCTGCAGGCCCGCCGCCCCGCACTTCTGGTGCCGCCGCAGCACACGGGGCTGGCTGCAGGCCTGGTTCAACCCGCGCATGCTGCTGCCTTGGACCATCGACTGCTGGGCAGACAACCTCAGGCGAGCGACGTGCAAGCCTGGCAGCTGCGCGCCGTGCCTCGCCACACTGGCCGGTGCTGGCACCAGCATGCATTGCACGGCCACAGGGGCCGGCCCTGAGCCCGCCCGCGCTGGGTGCCACAGGGTGGAGTGTGATGGCGAGGGCGGGCGCTGCGGCGACCCCGCCGGCGTCGCGGTGAAGCCCGTGCCTGGCTTCGAGAGCGGCATGCGGGTGGCGCCAGGTGAGGAGGAGGAGGAGGAGGAGGAGGAGGAGGAGGAGGAGGAGCTTGATCGGCGCCTGCCGGCCGTGTGCGGGGCAGCAACAGGTGGCGGGGTCGCGCCGGTGCGGCCTGCGCCTGCCCCAGCCATGCCTATACGCATAAGGTTTGCATGCACTTAATACCTTGGTGAGCAGGCGAGTACTTTGAAACGTTTGCCCCGCTGGCGGCGGCGCTGGAGCAGCTGGGGTGGCGGCGAGGCACCGACATGCTGGCCCACCTCTACGACTGGCGGTGCACTCGCCCCGGCCCCTGGCATGACATGGCATGGGGTGGCGCTGCATGTGCTGCATGCGCGGATGCTGGTCGGAACAGAAGAGGCACCTCTGCATGCAGCCCTTGTCGCTGCCTCGCAGGCTGCCGCCTGGCGAGTGGGTGCAGCCGGGCGGGTACTTTGATGCACTGCAGCGCCAGATCGAGGAGGCGGTGCAGGCTGCTGGCAGGCCGGCAGTGGCCATCTCGCTCAGGTGACCGATGCAGCAGTTCCCTTGCTAGCAGCTGGGAGCAGCAGGCCTTGGCAGCGGCTGGAACAACAGCAGGCGCAGCAGGCATCACTGGTGCTAAGCCTGTGGCTTGATGAAGTGTTTGTGTGTGTTTGTGTGTGTGTGTGTGCGTGTGTGTGCAGCATGGGGGCGCCCTACCTGGCCCTCTTCCTGCGCCGCCACGTCGCGCCCGCCTGGCAGGCGCGCCACATCGCCGGCCACATCGCCATCTCAGGCGGGCCCACCAGCTGTGGCAGCACCCTGCACTGCTGCTGCCAGGGCGATTGAGAGGGGAGGTCGCGCGGTGATGTGCTGAACAGTCGGGCAGTCGCCTCTGCCTCGCTAACTGCATTTCCGCGCGCGGCCCTGCAGGGGTTTGGGGCGGCTGCCTGGACGCGCCGCTGACCACGGTGGCAGGCGCCGACGGTGCACAGTATGGGCGAGCGGCGCTGCGCACCCTGCTCCGCGCGCTGCCAGTCCTGCCCTGGCTGGCCCCTGCCCCCGCCGTGTTTGGCGGCAAGGTGAGGTGTGCCGCAGGCGGGGGCGGTCGCGTCTGCCTACTGCAAGCATGTCGCAGCCAAGTCAGCTGTTGAATGCATCTGCCAAGCGTGCCCTGCTGCTGCAGACGCTGGTGGTGGATGAAGCCACCGGCAAGCGCTACACGGCCCAAAGCCTGGGGGCGTGGCTGCGCGTCGCCGGGGCCTCGCAGGCAAGCACCAGCAGCAGGGCGTGGGGATGCCTGTGCCAGGCTGTATGGCCTCTCCCGCCGCTGCCCCACTTACTGCAAAGCAAGCTTGCGAAGCAGCGCCACACAGGTACCGGCTGAGCCTGTGATGCAGGCGGCGGAGGTGTGGGAGGCTAGCCTGCAGTACATGGAAGACCTGTCCGCCCCACCCAACCACACCCTGTACTGCCTGTACAGCACGGGTGAGGAATAGGCCAGTGGATTGACGGCCGGGCAGGGTGGCTTGGGGGAGTGAACTTGCCCCGGGCATGTGGTGCCTGCTGAGAAGTGGAACAGGCATGGGCAGACCGGCCGGCATGCCTGACTGGCGTGGCAGCTTTGTCGGTCGGAAAGCAGTGCTGTGGCCCACCCCCGACTGCTTTCAGGCATCGAGACGACCACCGGAGTGACTGTTTCCCTGCCGGGCCTGAGCCCCCGCTACAAGCAACAGTTCAGGTGCGTTCACGCTGGTTGCTGCTGCCGAACGATGCACGCTGGTGCTGTGCTGCTGTCCTACTGAAGCCCTTGCACCAATCGCACGATGCACGCTGGTGCTGTGCTGCTGTCCTGCTGAAGCCCTTACACCGATCCTGGCGCTTCCACACGCAGCGACGGCGACGGAGTGGTGCCGCTGCGCAGCCTGCAAGCGTGCGACGCGTGGCAGCAGGCGGCGCCGGCTGGGCGCGGCCCAGCCTCCGGCGCTGGCGGCCGGGCGTCGGCGTCGGGGAGCCCTTCTGTGCACATCCGACGCTACCAGGGCCTGAGGCACGCTGCGCTGCTGCGGGACGCACAGGCCTTTGCAGACATTGTCGAGGCGGTACTGGAGCTGGCGGGGCCTCGGGCAGTCGGTGCCTGGAGCTGAGGGCTGGACATTGTGGTGACCGGGGATTGAGCACTTCACCCCACACAGGATCTAAACATTGACTGGCTGCAATGCAAGGGCAGAACGGGGAGTACGCACACATGCAAGCAGGGAAGAGTCCGAGAGGCCCTCGTCAAGCGATTACCGCGCAGCGGCGGGACGCCTAGGCGTGCAGGCGCCGCCAGGTGGTGGCGTACTTGGCGCCCGCGGAGCGGCTGATGGTGCATAGGGAGGTGCGCCGCGTGCCCAGCCCCTCCCCCTCGTCGTCCAGCAGCTGCGCCTTGAGGGAGATGCGCAGGCGCCCGCCGCTGGCGCTGCGGGGCGCAGGGCGAGGCGCGAGGGCGGCGCGACGGCGAGTCGAACATGGCACAGCATGGGCGCCCAGCCAGCACAGCCCGACCTGTTCCCCCAGGCAGGCGCGGCACCTGCCTGCAAGCCGTGAGCCTCTCTCAGCTCCCACCGCACACAACAAACACACACATACACGCACACACACCATGCATGCACCATACCATGCACCACACCACACACACCTGAGGCGGAACTTCTGGTGGATGATGGCCGGCAGCGGCGGCCCCTGCAGCGACTTGATGCTCAGCGTGCCGTCAATGGATACCGCCATCTGCGGCGGTAGAGGTGGGTGTGTGTGTGTTGGGACCGTGTTTGGTCGGTGTGGTGTTTGTGCGATGTGTGTGTGGGCAGGCTGTGGGAGCGGGAAGCGGGCGCATGTGCATGCACGCGCGGCTGCTGAAGGCTCATGCCCAGCCGTGTGGCCCCGCGGTGGGCCTGCCAAGCCAGCAGCTGGCAGCGGCAGCACCTGCGCCGCTGCGCCGCCGCCGCGGCCATCCATGCGGGGCACTGTGGCCAGCGCTCCGTTGGTGGGGTAAGCCTCCTCCGGCCGGCGGAGGACCCCCGCGCCGCCCACCCGCGTCGTCCACACCAGCACGAGCTTGCCGTCGCTCTCGCTGACCTGCTAGGCAGTGGAAGGAGGCGGGGCAGAGGCAGGGCTGGGCAGGGCAGGGCAAGGCTGGGATTGAGGGTTGGGACTGAGGGCAGCGAACAGCGGCGTGGAGGCTGCTGCCAGCGGCAGTTTGGCCATGTGTGGGAAGCTGGGCAGGCACCGTAGGCCTCGCAGCGATGCACGCCCCATGCTAATTCGCTGGCCTAATAGACCAGCCAGCAGCCAGCAGCCGGCACAAACACCCAGCCAGCCAGCCAGCCAGCCAGCCGACCGGCCAGCCAGGCACACCTGCAGCTCCTGCATCTGCTCCCACACAGCCGCCTGCAGCGCCGGCAGCTGCAGCAGGGCATGCACCGAGGCCCGGCCGCCGCCGCCGCCGCCGCCGCCCTCGCTCTCCGTCACCCATGCCCCGAGCATCTCAGGCGGCACTGCCAGCAGGTCTGCCAGCGGAAGGGGCGGGCCGATGGCGGCTGCGGACCCCGCCGCCGGCGCCATGCATTCAAAGCTGAGGCGAGGGGTCACCAGGCGTGGGACCCCACTGCCGTGCGATGCCGACGTGCCGCCAGGTCGCGGCGGCCAGGCCGGCTGGCCGGCAGCCTGCTGCTGCTGCTGCTCCTGCTGCTGCTGCTGGTGCAGGCTTGGGTGGCCGCCGGGCGGCTGCTGCCTGTGGCTGGGCTGCATGTACCACTCGGTGCGCTGGTACAAAGATGAGATGGGCATGGGCTGGGTGGCAGGGCGCTCTGCCCGGCTGGGTGGCGGGCTGAACACCAGGCGGCGCGCCGTGCCGTCGTCTGAGGCTGGCGTGCCGCGAGCACCGGCTGCCTCGGTGGCAGCAGCAGCGGCGCCAGCGCTGTGCGCCAGGCCCCTGCCGCCCTGCTGCTGCTGCCAGCTTGGAGCAAGCGGGGCTGGGGCGAAACCACCATTGACGCCGCTGCTGCTGGTACTGGAAAAAACTGGCGGCAGCAGCCTGCTGGCGCTGCTGGGTGTGCTACTGCTGTGGCTGCTGCTGCCTGGGAGGGGTCCGGGAGTGGTGCTGATGCTGTGGCGGCGCGCCGAGGGCGGCAAGGGCGGCTTGGGGATGTGCGACGGCTGGCCAGCCAGCGACTGGCGCCTGGCCGGCGGCTGCGGCTGCCGCGGCAGCGCCGGCACGCTCCCCGTGGTGTGAAGCAGCGTGGAGTGCTGCCTGCTGCTGCTGGAAGTCGCAGTGCCAGGCGTGGGTATGGGCGCAGCCGCGCCGAGCAGCTCTCGATCGTCGCTGCCGCCAGCGGCGCCCCGCCCGCGGCGTGGGCTCCTGGCAAACCGCTGCTTCAGGCGGGCCCAGGCGCCGGCAAAGCCAGTGCGGGGCTTGCCGCTGGTGCCGGGCGCGCCAGGCCCCGCGGCCGCGCTGCCAGGTGGGGCGGCAAAGCCATGAGTGGCAGCCGTGAAGGGGGCTGTGCTGACCGATGCGGCGGCGGCGGCGGGGGCGGCGGGCAGGGCAGGCATTTCTGGTGAGACCAGCCAGCAGGCCTGGGGGTCCCAGCTCGGCGGCACCTCGGCAGGCGGCGGCGCCTCTTGCCGCCAGGCTGCATAGTCAACCGACTGGCGCGAGGCGTAGGCTCCTGCAGGCGGCGGGGTGGGGGCTTCAAGCAGAGTGGGCGTCGGCGGCGGGCTGGGACAGCTGTAGCGGTTGGGCGGCGTGGGCTGGCGGCAGCCTGGGCCCTTGGAGCCCTGCTGGCCCTCTCCCGCCGTCCCACCCACCCTGGGCAGCAGTCGTGAAGACTGAGGCAGTCGTGTGGCCTGGAGCAGCCGAGTATGCGGAGCTGGGTGTGGTCATGATCGCCTCCCTCTTGCGCATGAAGGCCCACAGGCTGCTGCTCCGCTGCTGCTCCATGGCTGGGCCTGTGCGGCTGAAGGGAGCCTGCTGGGAGGATAAGGTTGTAGGCCGGGGCCCTGGCTTGCCCAGGAGGGGAGAGGCAGAGGCAGGGAGCGCAGGTGACCGATGAAGAGAGGCCATGTGAGAGCGGGGCTATCCGCGCCGCCAGCCTGGCGCGGGCGTCGAGTTGGCGCCCTGTCAGGTAGCTGCTCCACATGCCCTTTTCTCAACTGATTGCAAGCACATGCGCTAAACACAGGTCATTGTCGGCGGCAGCAAGCCCAGGCGTGCGCGTTGCGCCCCAGCGCTGAGCCCCCGCTGCGCGTGCCGGGCCCGCCGCCGCCGTCGCCCCGCATACCGCTGCCGCTACCCCGCGGCCGCCTTGCCGCCGCTCTTCCCGCCGCCCTCCTCGCCGCTCTTCTCCTCCTCTTCCTCATCACCCTCGGAATACTCATCGTAATACTCGTCATCCCACTCAAGCTGCCTCCTAAAGTAGTCTCGCTCAGGGCCCTCTGGAATGTGCACCATCAGGCGCCTGTTCATGCTGCCGTCCCAGTCCACCTGCGCGTGGGGGCACGGGCCAGCGGGAAAGGCAGGAGCAATCCCTGAGCATCAAGCGCCGTACGTCAAAACCACTGAACTGTTGCGTCGTTCGCCACCAGGTCCAGGCCACGCAACAGTAACAACCTGGCCAGCCGTGCCACCAGCAGCCAGGGTCCAGAGCAGCCAGGGCCCCTGGCAGCCACCCAAAACAGCAGCGGGCCAGCCACGCGCCCCCAGCTGCCACCCACCTTGAAGCCATGATCCTCCAGGCAGGAGGCAGTTACCAGCGGTACCACCTTGGCGGGCATGCCGTCCCGCGCCGCATGTCCCAGCCAAAGCTCCCCATCTGCAGCTCCACGTCAGCAACAGCACAACCGGCGGCTGGTGGGGTGCAGGCTGCAGTGACCAACCCCCGCTGGTGGCAGCTTTGCAGCGAGGGGGGGTGGAGCGAGGGCGGGGAGGCGGGCGCCCCCCAAAACCGCACCTGCCGCGTTGTCAATGTCTTGGGAGTGATAGAAGATGTAGCCCACAGCCTCGGGGGTGGAGTCAAGCAGGCTGCTGCACTCCGCATGCGCGCCTGCATCGCGGCAGAATGCAGGCGCAGGTTCGTGAGCAGGCGGCGGCCGGGGTGCCGGGCAGCCAGCGGCGGCGCTCACAGTTCCCGCAGCAGGCCGCATCCTCCTCCACCAGGATGCGGTGGGTGCCGCGCAGCTCGTTGAATGCCTGCAGGCGCCAGGCAGGTGGTCGCGGCGCGAAGCAGGCTCTGGGGAGCGTGCCGGAGCACACAAGTGGGGCAGGAAGCCTGAACGATCTTGCCTGAACGATCTTCAGGCTCGCAGTATTGTCCGCCATGGCAATAGCTGGCTCTGGGGGCGTGGCCAGCAGGTGGACACCGGCCAGGTGGCGGCGAGCGGCGGCCTTGGCGGGGGGAGGCGGATGGGCGGCATGCTGCAGCACCAAGCCGCCGCCACCTGGGGGAGGTTTTATAACGTGTCCCCCACGCGGGACGCTGCCCGGGACGTAGAGATGAGCTGTGTCAGAAGGAGGCAAGAGGATCAGATCACTCCGAGGCTGAGCATGGCTGCGGGAGGGTGCCTCCTTGACGCTGCAATGACTCTACTAGTCGATGCGGCACGTTTAGAGAGAACAGCGAAAGCGTGCCAAGGTGGCGGCGGGCGCGGGCGCAGAGCGCTGCCTAGAGCACCTCGCCTTGATTGTCACGGCGGCATGATTACGTGTCAGTTGTTTGAGTCAGTCACCGAAACCAGTCAGTCAGCAAAAGCCAGTCACAGATCACTCTCAGCCCCACTGCGCCCGCTCTCTAGCACCGCAGCCCCAGCCCCAGGCGCTCGCTGCCCTCTCCGCTGATGCTGCTCAGGCCCTGGGCAATGTGCTGCAGCGAGCTGACGGCCGCCTGCAGCTGCGCCGCCTGCGGCCGCATCTGCTGCTGCTGCTGGCCGGCAAGGCCGCTGCCGCTGCCGGCGCTGCCCCCAGCGCACGCCGCTGCCGGCGGCGGGCTGCCTGCGGTGCTGGGGGGCGAGGGCGAGCCGTGCAGCAGGTCCATGTTTGTGAGCAGCTCCTGAAAGTCCAGCTCAGCCTGCTGGCGCCGCTGGCGCTCCGCCTGCAGCTCCGCCTCCAGCTGCCGCCACCGCCGCTCCAGCTCCTCTACCCGCTGCTGCTGCTGCTGCTGCTGCTGGGAGGTGCTGCTGCCATCTCCGCTGCCGGCGCTGTCGCCGGCGCTGCTGGGCCCGGGGTCGGGGTCGGGTGCGGTGGCTCGCAAGCACACCAGCTCTCCCAGCAGCTCCTGCCGCTCACGTGCCAGCCTGGCACGCTCAGAGTCCATGTGACCCAGCAGGTCCAGCAGGCGCTCATTCTCCTGCGGGAGGCAGCCACGCACAGCAAAAAGGGTGGCTGGCCTTGCAAATACCAACCACACGGACGCAGACAAGCAGGCCAAACAGGCAGTACAAACCCTGGCGGCCCGGTTAATTTCCTCCCTCCCTCCATCCATCCATCCATCTCAATCTCCCCACCTGCTGCAGCTCCTGCACCTCACCCCACACACCCGCCGCCGACGCCGCGTGCCTGCCAGCCTCCCCCTGCAGCGTCTGCAGCTGCACTGCCAGCTGGCGGTTGTGCTGCTCCAGCTGCGCCAGCCTGGCAGACGTGGCACCGGCTCCTGTGCCATCAGCGCCAGCATCACTGCCACCAGCCGCCTCCTGCAGCACCAGCAGCCCCTTCACTTCCTCCAGCTCCCGCTGCGCCGCCTGCAGCGCCGCCTGCGCGCCGTCCAGCGCCCCCGCCAGCCGCGCAGCCTCTGCCCGCGCCACCTCCGCCTCCCCAGCCAGCTGCGTGCACTGCTGCCGCGCCTCTCCCAGCTCCTGCGCCAGCGCCTCGCCCCGCTGCTGCGCGGCGTGGTTGCCGCGGCTGGCCCCCACCTCAAACTCTGCCGCCAGCCGGGAGCGCAGCTGGCCCAGCTCCACGTCTTGTGCCTCCCGCCGCTGCAGGCAGGAGGGCCGGGCATTGTAAGGCATGCTGGAAGGGCAGCAAGCAAGCAGATGCACGAGCGCCTGATGTGTGGGCCGACAGACTCTCCCCGCTTGGTGGCAGCCAGGCAACTGCCTGCCTCCGCCACATCCTTGCTGGCTGCCTTGCCGCCGTTCCTGTCATGGTGCCCACCTGCACCAGCCCGTCCACCTGGCGCTGCAACGTGGCCACCTGCTCCTCCAGCAGCCGCTTCTGCTCCTGCAGCGACGCCAGCTGACGGTCGGGCCCCGACTCCGCGGCCACAGCGTCCCGCTTGTACTGCAGCAGGAGAGCCCAGAGGGCAGGCAAAAAAATAATCAGGCACGCAGCGCGAGGCGCTTGTGAGGTGCACACGGCACACGGGCGAGCAGGCACGCACGCACATGCATGGTTGGCGCTACCAAGAGAGGCAGGGCAGCCCACGCACCTGGTCGGCCCGAGAGATGGCCAGCAGCCCTTCCAGCTCCCCCACCCGTGCCTGCTCCAGCGCAATGCGCTGCCGGAGCGCCTCAGAGTCTGCACCGCAGGCACCCCGAGTTCACGCCCAGGGTGGAAGTGCTGCCAGCGCGGAAAGGCGCCGCTGCTGCTGGTGGCCCCCACTCGGTGTTTTGGTGCAGCAGCAGCTGCAGGCGATCCCCCACTCGGTGTTTGGTGCAGCAGCAGCCGGCCGCCCCTCACCCGATTGCGCATCCGCCAGCCGTGCCTCCAGCACGCCGATGCCGCCCTCTGCATGCAGCAGCTGGCGCTGCAGCGCCTCCTGGGCGCGCTCCAGCTGGAACCGCACCTGCAGCACGGCGGCATGCCGACCACGCGCGCCGTGAGGGATGAAGCAATGAACGGTTCAAACATTGCACAGGAGGCGCCACAAATGGGCGCTGAACCGAGGCGAGCCGCCAGCTGCCCCCAGCGCATGCAGAGCCAGGCAGCAGGCAGCTGGCACGCTGCGGCTGTCAAGGCGCAAAGCGTGCCTGCTCGGCTCCCCGCAGCTGCTCCAGCAGCGCGTGCCGCTCCCGGTCCAGCCCGCCCGCCGCCTCGTCGCCTCGCCGCATCGCCCGGCCCATGGCCTCCAGCTGGCGCTCGCCGGCCTGCAGGGAGCAGCACCCCAGCGGTCAAACAGTGGAGAAGCGAGGCGCCGTCCCCGCCCCTGGTCACGCCCTCGCCCCCGGCGGCTGCGCACAGGCGTGGTCATGCAGGTTGGACCCGCCGCCACGCAGCCCTTGCCCCAGCCGGCCATCTGCCCCTGCCTGCAGGTCTGCGATGTACATGTTTATCTGGCTCTGGGCGCTGCGCTGCGCCTCGTGCAGGCTGGCCACCTCCTCCGCCCTGGTGACCAGCTCTGCGGCAGGTGGGTGGATGTGGCAGGTGTGGGGTGTGGCAGTAGTCGGGATAGGGCGGGGACAAAACAGGGAACAACATGTATCATGCGCATTCCCGCCGCAGATGAGCCATCATGCACATGTACTCTTCATTCGAACAGAGCGCACCTGCGTCCCGGGCCTGCAGCTCCCTCGTGAGCTCCGTCAGTGACTGCTGCAGCCGCTGGTTTTCGTGGGAGAGGCCCTCGTACGCGGTGCGCAGCTCTGCAGGGAGAGCGCAACAGCGGCAGCAGCCCGCCATCAATCGCCGCGCCTGGCTTGCGCCGGTCTTCGGAGGCAGCGCGGGCGTGCAGGCGGTGGCAGCGGGCGGCGCCAAGCCAGGCTGGCCGCTGCTGCGGCCAGCATCCGCTGCTGCCGCCAGCAGCACCATCCACCTGTCCTTGCAGGCAAGACGGCCGGAGCAGCAGCACCACGCCGTGCCGCGCCCTACCTGCCGTGTCCTGCTCCCGCGCGCGCGCCAGCTGCTCGTTGTAGTGGCTGCGGCTGCTGTGCACCTTGACCTGCTCCGCAAGCTCGTGCCGCTCGGCAGTCATGCTGCTCAGCTGGTTGCTGACCACCTGCGGCGGGAGGTGCGGTGGCTGTAGGTGCGTGTTTGTACGTGTGGCAAGTGAACGGGGCTCCCTGGGCTGGCCGTCTGCTTCATCTCACATGCATGCATTGGCCAGCCATCTTCCTACAGTATCTGCTCTGCCGTTGCGCCCAGAGGTCCCATCCGCCCACCGCCCAGTTCCCTTCAACGCCGCCCGCCCACCTGGTTCTCCCTGACCAGCGCCGCCAGGTCATCAGTCACTGCCCTGTACTCCTCCACCAGCGCGCCGTGCTCCGCCCCCAGCCCCGCCAGCTGGCGCCCCAGCGCCTCGGCTTCCGCCCGCTGCACCTGCCCCGCCTCCTCCTGCTCCTGCAGCCGCGTGGCGGCGGCCGCCAAGCGGGCCTCGGTGGCGGCCAGGGCCCTGCACGCATGAAGAGCATCCACAGGAGGTCGGCCCCAGCACCATAGGAAGCAAGATGCCTTTGAGTGCACACGCTGCAGAATGTCCCACCCGTGCATCTTCACATGGATGTAAGCTGTGGCATCGCCCACCCACACCACACCTCTCTGCCTCCTCCGCGCGGTGGCACTGCACCGCCAGCGTGCCGGCCTCAGCGGCGGCGCTCTCCGCGCGGCGGTCCAGCTCGGCTTGCAGCGAGTCTCGCTCGGCGTCCAGGGCGCCCACCACGCCGCGCAGCTCTGCCAGCTCAGCATCACGCTGCTGCACGGCAGGGCAGTACAGCAGACAGTCAGCATGAGCAGGAGACGCGACTCAGCGACAGGGGGCGAGCGTACCCTCTGCCGCTGCACCCTTTGCCACACTCCCCACCTGCGCCTCCTCCGCCCGCCTGGCCAGCTGGGCCCCAGCGTCGCTCAGCCGCAGCTCCGCGGCCCGCAGCTCCGTCGCCATGCTGCACAGGGGCAGGAAAGCAGGGGCATTTAGCATATTGAATTGGCTTACCTTCATCCTGCAATGGCGCTGACAATCACACTCAAAACCGCTCTGGAACAACCCACTCTGCTGAAATGTGCACCACACACTGCTGGTCCGCCAACCCACCTGCGGAGCTGCACCATGTACTGCTGTACCGTGGCATCCGCCTTGATGCTGAGGGCAGACAGGTCGGCAACCTCCTGGCTGCGCTCCTGCAGCTGCCGTCGCAGGTCTGCCGCGGCAGCGGTGGCGTCTGCTACGCTGCTGGAGCCTGCACCGGCAGCCGCCAGCTCCTCCTGCAGCCTGGCTGCCTGGCTCTCCAGCTGCTGGATCCTGCCCTGCAGCTGCTGGGCCTGCTGGTGTAGCTCCTCCTCCCGCTGGCTGGCCGGCGGCGAGCGGGAGCCCGCCGCCAGCTGCCAGTCGCCGCTGCCGCCGCCATCGCCTCCGTCCAGGCCAGGCGCCGGGGCCTGCGCCTCGCCTGCTGCTGAGTGGCGGTCGCGCTGCTGCTGGGCAGACACAGCGGCCGTCAGGGCTGCCACCTGCTGCTCACTCTCCTCTAGCTTGACCGCCAGCTCAGTGCGCTCAAACTCCAGCTGCTCCAGCTGCGCCGCCTGCTGAGCCAGCTGCTGCTGCAGCACGCCGATGCCAGGCTCATCCTGTCCCTGCTCTGGCGGGGCTGCTTGATCAGCGCCAGGCTGTCCTTCCTCCGCTGCTGACGCTGCTGGCTCCTGGGCAGTGAGCGGAGCGCCGGCGACCGCCACAGCCTGGGCCAGGTGCTGCTCGGTGCGCAGAAACTGCTGCTGCGCCCGCTGCATCTGCTGCTCTAGCTGCTGCACCTGCTCCCGCAGCTGGCGGCACTCGCCCTCGCTTGCTGCCGCCGCCGCGGCCGCGTCCTCGCGTGAGCGTCTAGCCTCTGCCAGCTGATCCGCCAGCGCCTGGCACTGCTCCTGCAGGCTGACAGCAGCGGCTGCCTCCTGCTGGCTGGCCGAGCCCTCGGGCTCTCGCTGCTGCTGCGCCTGCTTCTGGACAGAAGCAGAGAGCTCCCCCTCCAGCTGCTTGCAGCGGCCCTGCGCCTTGCGCAGCGCTCCCTAGGCCAGGTGCACATCGGGGAAGGTGGGCGGTTAGGAAATGGAGGGCCGCATGCAATGCAAACCTGGCATGGCCTGCGCATGCACACGATGCGCAGGCTGCTTGCCCACCGGCCCTGATGCATGCCCCCAGCCCCTCACCTCCCGCTGCTCCAGCACGTCACGCAGCTCTGCCACCTTCGCCTCTGCATGCGTCAGCTGCCCCTCCAGCAGCGCCTTCTCCGCCCGCACCCCCTCCAGCGTGGACCGCAGCCTGCCCAGCTTCTGCCGCGCCGCGCCCTCGCCCGCCGACTCCTGCTGCAGCCGCACCAGCGCCGCCTGCATCGCCTCCACCTCCCGCGCCACGCCCTCGCGCTCCGCCGCCAGCGAGCTGGCACGCGCCTCGGCCTGGCGCTGCGCCTGCTGCGCCGCCTCCAGGTCGCCGCGGTCCACCGCCCGCCGCTGCACCTCCACAAGCTCCGAGGTGAGCGCCTCAACCTGCACTAGCGCCACACACACCCGGATGCAGCCCATCAACCTTCCAAAGCCTTCACACCAGGCAACAACACGCCAGGTAACCCAGGGAGCCCCATTGATTTCAAAAACCGGTGTTTCCGTGAACCCCTGGCTGCTGCGTCCTGGGCGCCAGGAGCCGAGTTGCCGCGCCTGCTGGTTGAGCTGCAGGATGACTGCCTCGTTGGCTTCTGTGCGGTACTGCTGGGCCAGACGGTCCACGTCGGGACCGCGTGCCACCAGCGCCGACAGCCGCTCGATCTCGGCATCCCGCTGCGCCAGCGCATCCTGCAAGCACAGAACCCTCCCAGGGCGGTTGTCGGGAGGACTTGCTGGGCCCCGCCCGTGGGTGGCCTGACTGTAAATTAGCCACAGTGGTGGCAGGGCGGGGAAGCACCTCTTGGACAAGCAAACTGCCGTGTCCTGCGCCTGGTACCAGAAGACCCTCCCTGAGCTCGACCGAGCACGTGCGCGGCACCCACCTTGGCCTGCTGCACCTGCGCGCCCAGCGCCTGCTGCGCCTCCTCTCGCCGCCGCACCTCTGCCTCCAGCGCCAGGATGCGGCTGTCGGCGGCCTTGATGAGGGAGATGGCGCCGCGGGAGGTCTTGGCGGCCGCGGCGGGCGCGGGGCGCGGCTCCAGGGGGGCGGTCATGGAGAAACTGGAGTAGGCGGCCTTGAGCTCCAGCTCATCTGCAGGGGAGGGCCGGCCGAGGAGGGAGGAGGAGCTGAGGGCGGCAGCGGCTGCGAGGCAGGCGGATGTCGTGGGGCGCTGGGAGAGCGGCGCAGCAGCAGCCGTGCGGGGTGGGAAGCTTGGGGAGCTCCGTGGCGCGCAGGGCAGCACAGAGCTGGGAGAGTGCTGTGCTGTTGCAGATGCCCCACATGGGATAGCCAGCGCCGTAGGGCAGCCCAACGCGCCCCACCTCGCCCCCGCCCACCCACCTCCCGCGTGCTGCTGCCCGAAGCTCAGCAGGTCGCGCACTTTGGCGCGCAGGCCGTCTCGCTCCCGCTCCAGCGCCGCCGCCCGCTCCAGCGCTTGCTCCTTGGCAAAGGCCAGATCCGCGGCACGCGCCTCGGCCTGCTTGGCACGCTGGTGTGTGCCCGCCTCCTGCGCCTGCTGCGCATCCGCCTCGCGCAGCAGGTTGGCATGCAGGCGGCTGTTCTCGGCACCCAGCCGCCCCACCTCCCGCTGCAGCACCTCGGCCTGCAGGCGCAGGCAGCGTGCTCCCGGCCTCTCTCTCAGTTGGCGGCAGCGACCGACTGCCACAAGGTGACGTAGCGCATGCTGCTGCTGGCGGCGATAATCCCGACAGAACGCTGCCGCGCCTCACGACAGAACGCAAGCTGGCCCGGCAGGCGCCCACCTGGTACTGCAGGGTTTGGGAGGCCTGCCCCGCATCGCCCGCCTGCACCTTGAGTGCGCGGTAGCTGTCTGTGCCTTGACCAGGTCGGCCAGCAGCGCCGCCACCAGCGGCGCCGCCTCTGCCGTCAGGGCGGTGGAGTCGTAGGCCAGCTCGCCCAGCTGGCGGCGGAGCGCGCTCACCAATTGAGCGTCGCCTACCATGCTGGTGCGCTACGTTTGGGGGAAAGGGGCGCTGAGGCGCGAGTCAGCGCCGGGGGTGCTGGCGGAGAGTGCGACGCAGCGCGTCTCTGCTGCAGTAAGTAAACGCGGCAGTGATGCTGCTGCTAGTGCATATGGCACGCACGGGCTCCAAGGCACAGACTGGCGGATGCCGGTCAACGCTTTGTGCGAGTTCGATTGCCGCTATGCACCGCTTCAGTGAACTACGAGATCAGAAAAAACAAGAGACGCTGTGCTGGGCCGCCCACCAGCCACAGCAGGGAGCCGCCAGGCGGGTCCGCCGGCTCTGTGGTGGCAGTGTCTGCATACCGCCCTGCATCCGTCAGGCCAACAGCAGGCATCCTCGCCCCTCAAGCTACCTCGGCAGCATGTTCGTCCTGTCTGGCAGAGGTGCAGCAGGGCATTTGAGCCCAGAAGACGGTGCGTGGCAGAGACGCGGATGGTGCGGGGTGCGGTGCCGGGCCAGTGCCCAGGCAGGGCATGTTGAGGTCTGGCGAGCAGCGTGCGGCGTTGTCAGCTCTCCCCAGCACCATGCACCCACCCCGGAGGGCTCTGCTGCCAATTTTGGAGGCACTCCGCAGTCGGCAGAATGTTGGACATGTGGCTGGCTTGGGTGCGGTTTTGCTGGCGGCCAGTGGTTCCAGGTCCCTACGTGTCCGCACGCCGCTACAAGCTGCCCGATCTGGGACCCTTTTGTCGTGGAGAAAATGCCGGTGGGCCGAATCACAGCACGCAGCAGGAGGTGCCCTCACCGCGTCTCCAAGTGCGTATGGCAGCCCACTGATTGCAGATCTTGTGCAATTCGCGGGTCGGCAGCCGATAGCGACAGCGGGGGCTGCTTGGGCCTTCTGTTGGCTGGCATCTGGGGTGTGAAAGGCTGTCCAGCGAGCTTGAGGCCTCCCCTTCGAGCCTCCGTGGCCGCCACGATTAGGGCCGATTCAGGAGAGCCTGCCGGGCCCGGGAAGGCGTCCTCAGTCGTCCCGGCTGGGAGCGGCGCGGTGGTGCAGATGCCCGGCCACTCAGGGGCCTCCCCCCTGCTGCAGCGGTCAGACAAGTCCTGGAGGTGCGTTGGAATGCAGGCAGGAACCCGCAAGTGCACCACATGCAGGGGATTGCGGCCGGCTCACGGGCTGCACCTGCCCCCGCGCCGCCGATTGAGCTTGCAGGGCATCCAATCCGGCGCACCTGATGGAGGGCTTCTCCTTGCCCGCCACCCCGTCAAAGGCCAAGCCCGGGCGGAGAGGGTTCTGCTCCCTCACCACCCTGCTGGTCGTGTTTGCGCTGGTGGCAGGTGCGCTGCGGCCTTCTGGGCCCTCAACACTTTCCTTCGGACCCCACCCCCCGCGCCGCCGGGCCCCCAGGCCCGCCCCAGCCCCGCCGCCGCCGCGTCTTGGCAAGATTGCCCGCCGCCTCTTGCCCCCGCCCGCCGCCACGTGCCCCCACCCGACGCCGCCTCCCCCCGCGCCCTGCGCGTGCCCCCCGCCCCGCAGGCGTGGCCATGTTCAATCAGGAGCTGGGCGGCAGCAGCAGCCGCACAGAAACATACTACCGCAAGGCCCTGGTGGCCAAGATGTATTTTGGCGACAACGGGCAGACGGTGACGGCCACCAGCGAGGAGTACAGCCGCTCCACGGTGGCCGGCGGCGGCGCGGGCGCGGCCAAGGCCAAGGCCACCGCCGCCGCCAAGGCTGCGGCGGGCCGCGCCGAGCCGCGCGCCGCGCTGGAGCTCGACGAGGAAGAGGAGGAGTGGGAAGAGGGCGGCGGCGGCGGCGGCGGCGCGGCCGAGGCGGCCGCCGACGAGGACGAGTTTTCCTCTCTGGAGGACGAGGACGAAGACGCGCACCCGTCCTCGGAGCAGCAGCAGCAGCAGCAGCAGCGCCTGGTCACAACCACGGTCAAGGCCACCGCGACCAGCGACGCGCCGCTCACCGTCACCATCTCCGCCACCCAGGAGATGGAGGGCGCCACCGCGGCCGCCGCCGCCGCCGCTGCCGACGAGCAGGGCGAGGAGGCGACGTCCACCACCACCACCACCACCACCATCACCACCACGCAGCCCGCGGCCGCCGCGGGCACGGGCGCGGGCGCGGCGCAGGCGGCGCAGCAGCCCGCTGCGACGGCGCAGCAGCAGCAGCAGCAGCAGCAGGGCGCGGCGGGGCCAGAGCAGGAGGACCCCGCTGAGGCCGCCGCCTCCTGGTGGTCTGACGTGGTGGACCCCAGCGGCGAGCGCCTGCCCAAGGCCGCCAGGCGCGAGCGCGACATCTCGGCCTCCCTGGCCACCGCAGGTGCGCGCCGCCGCGCTGCTGCGCCTCCCCCACCTCGCGCGCAGCGCGCCCGCGCCTGCGCGGCTGCCACCCGCCAGCGTCGCGTGCCTGCGCAGGGCCGCTGGCCGGCTGGCTGGCAGCCTCGCAGCTGCCGTGCGCTGCCCTTGCGTTTGAGCGCAGCAGCGCTGCAGCCAGCCTTGCCTGGTCAACCCCTGCCTCGCGCCTCGCCCTCACCTCCCTCCCTGCCCGCCCGTACCGCCCGTACCGCAGTCGTGTTTGACGAGTCTGCGGTACCCGACAACCCCGACTGCAAGATTGCGGTGATGGATGTGGACCAGCGCTGGGGGGAGGTGTACGGCGCGGGCAACTGCGACCTGGCCGACGAGAAGGTGGGGAGGGCCCCGGAGGGCCCCCGGTGCATGCAGGGCGCTGTGGTGTGGTGTTGGCCTGGGCATGTGAGGACACGGCGGTGGTGGTGGAGGCGGCGGTGGTGGTTGTGGTGGGTGACGTGGAGGGCAGGCTGGCAGAGATTGGCAGCCACAAGCGCCGAGCTGACGGATGCGTTGCCCCCCGCCGCTGCTCCCCCTGCCGCGCCGCCCGCTGCAGCTGTGGCCCTTTGCGTCCATGGGCCGGGGTATCGACGGGCACAACCTGCTGCTGCCCGAGCAGTACCAGTACAGCATGGAGCACTGGATCACAAAGGTGGGTGGATGTCGGTACCGCCGCTACCGCTGCCGCCCGCTGCGTGCGGCCATGCCGCACCTGCCAGCCTGGAGCTGCCTGCGCCGCCCACCCCCTCCCCACCTCATCTCAATTCCCCCTTGCCCACGCTCCTCCTCCCGTCCCGCATACCCCCCCCCCCCTCCCTCTGCCTAGCCCAATGCCTGCCCTCCTCACACCACCGCCACTCTCCCTCCCCTCCCCTCCCCTTCCCTCCCTCCCCACCGCTCCCCACCGCTCCCCCGTGCAGGCCATCCGCAACTCCTCGCGCTACACCGACGACACGGCGGCCGCCGACTTTGTGTTTGTCGACATGGGCTGCTACCACACGTCCTGGATGGCCTGGCTGCACCCGCAGAACGAGGAGGGGCGCAAGCTGGTGCCCTCGCCAGAATATTACATCAAGCGCTCCTTCACCAAGCTGCGCGGCATGGCGCGGTGCGTGCAGGCCGCTTGGCAGGGAGCTTGCTTGGGGCGGCGGCGGCGGGCCGGCTGCCGGCTGGCTGGGTGTGCATGCATTGCGTTGCAGCGTGGCGTGCTCCACCCCTCCTCCCTCCCTCGCCCTCCCTCCCGCCCACCCTCCCGGCCACCCATTCACCCTGCCCGCCCCGCCCCGCAGCTTCCGCGAGACCAAGGGCGGCGACTTTGGCATGGTGCACCCCGCGCCGCTGATGAAGGGGCTGTTCACCGAGGAGGCGGCCTGCGAGGACTTTGCCTCGGTGCTCAACATGGTACCCGAGCGCGCCTCGCTGTGCGTGTGGACCCAGGACTCGCACACCCAGGGCAAGAGCGTGCTGCTGCCGTACGCCGCGGTGTCGGACATTGACATGGACGTGAGTCGCGGGAGGGGCGTGCGCTGTGTGGTGTGTGCGGTACAGTGCTGTGTGGTTTGTGCTGTACAGTGCTGTGTGCTGTTTGCTGTGTGCGGTACAGTGTTGTGTGGTGCGTGCTGCGCTGTGGGGGCTGGCAGGCCTGGCA